AGGCTCAGGTCATGATCTTGCAGTTCATGGGTTCAAGCCCCACATTGGACTCTGTGCTGACAGCTCAGAGCCTGGAGACTGCTTTGGATTCTGTGTTTCCCTCTCTGTCTGCCCCTCCCCTGCTCGCCCTTTGTTTCTCTCTCTCTCTCTTAAAAATAAATATTAAAAAAATTTTTAAAGGTGAAATTTATGATACATGAACTATATTCATGTATATTATATTATATTCTCAATAAAAAATTACATATGTGATTCCCATTATATTTTTTTGGACAGCACTGTTCCAGAACATAACCATGAAGCCAGGTACCAAGAAGGACCATAATACAGAATCTTTGGATTGTGATTCCCACAGCAAGAGCCTGGATTCCAGGCCTTTTTCCCATAGATCCTTATCCACTTGCTCTTTCCCTGTCAGCTGAGATGATGTAATATGGATTTTCCTCATGCTCTGTGGCTGTATGGGGATGGCAGAAACATCACTGATCTTATTCTCCAGGTCCGGGACACCCTGATGCTGGCAGACAAGCCCTTCTTCCTGGTGCTGGAGGAAGATGGTACAATTGTTGAGACAGAAGAGTATTTCCAAGCCCTGGGGGATGACACAGTGTTCATGGTCCTCCAGAAGGGGCAGAAATGGCAGCCCCCATCAGAGAAGGTGAGGTTCCCACCTGTGTGGTAGGGAGAACATTGGGAGTCTGGGAGAAGTCCTTTTTTGGGGTGTGGGGGGTAGGTTGCCAACCACAGGCTTCTCTTGATACAGAGTACTAGGTACCAACTCTCCCTCTCCCGTAAGCCCGGCAAGAAGATTGATGTGGCCCGTGTAACCTTTGACCTATATAAGATGAACCCACAGGACTTCATTGGTTGCCTGAATGTGAAGGCCACTCTGTATGGCACCTACTCCCTTTCCTATGACCTGCACTGCTACCGGGCCAAACGCATCATGAAGTGAGTGAATTGGGATTAGCTGGGGATAGGGTGGGTATTCAGCAATGAGAGAGTCCCTCTCTGTTCACATGGACCTCAGCTTTCTAGGGCCTTGGACTAGTGTTGATGCTGACAAAGTATGGCAGCATTTTCTAGAACTTTATGGCTGAACTGGTGCTTTAGCAGATGCCAAAGGGGTACACATATCTCCTCCAGGTGGAACTGGGATACATTATTTTTCTAATTACCTTCCACCATAACAACTTACTTTTTCACCTAAAATAGTAAGTTTTCCTAAGTAGTCTTCTAATTGGTTTTTAAAAAGTGAACACATGTCAAAGATTTTATTGAACTCTTTAATTAAGGGGAGAACCAGGAAGAAGTTACAATCAGTTCAAAGGAGAATTCAATATACACAGCTCCATCAAGACAGATAAATTCACAGATACAAAACTGGATTTTTCCATGGGGGTGGGAGGGATGAAATAACTGTTCTTCCATAGATGGAATTAACTTGCAAGTCTGTGGACAATACTCATTTGTATTGATGAATGAACTTCTTTCAAACTTTCTACTTTACTGTGGAAGTCTAATCAAGTAACATGGGAAGCATGAGAATATGTTAAATCATAAGACAAATACTGTTAGGGTACAAGTACTGTTAGGGTGATGTTTCCCAATTTCAGCTGCTCCACTGGTGTTCTAATGAATTCCTACCCCATCAGGCGGATGCAGCCACTGATGCAGAGGCATCCAACGATGCCAAAGCCACAAAGCTAGGGAGTAGCAGAGCATGGCTTCTTGCGAGTTTCTTCTGACAGATTCTAGTCCTCCCCAATTGCTTCATTTAGCATCTACTGAGCACACACTGTGTGCCTGGCCCTATGTGGTAAGCTTAAGACCCAGAGATAAACAAGATGTCAGAACAAGCTCCATTGTTGCCCCCAGTACCTTGATGAATGCCAGCACATAGCAGTAATTTGAATGAATGATAACGCATATGATCCTTGTTCTTAGAGGCCTTCTGAGAAATCCTGCTCAGGGTCCCCAGAGCTCTATCAGAACACACGTAGCTAGAGCACACTAGACCTTTTGGCTTTCTGAGTTAATTCTGTGCATATCCAGTCTGCAGATGAGGGATCTGAAGCCTTGCCAGAGATGACATTCAGTGACAGGCGCTCTGAGCCTAGTTCTGTGGCTAGAAATCCCATATTCCTCCTACACCATATCATGCCCCATCTTGATCTGGGCTTGCTGCCGGTAGTTTGCAGATTTCAAAACCTAGAATAGAAGCTTCAGCCTTTAAATTCAGTGCATTTAGGGGAAGTAAGACTCTCAGACCTGAACCCAAAAAAACAAAACAAGCTGAAGTAGGTGTGGTGACTTAATGGTGTCAGCTTTTTATTATTTTTTTAATAATAGTTTTATATTTATTTTATTTTTTTAATAATAGTTTTATTTTTGTTGTTCCGTTTTAAAATATATGTAACATAAGATTTACCATCGTAATTGTTTTAAAGTGTACAATTCAGTGGCATTAAGTACATTCACAATGTTGTGCAACGGTTACCACTATCAATTTCCAGAACTTTTTCATCATCCCACACTGAAACTCTGTCCCCATTAAACACCAACTTTCCACTCCTCCTTCCCCCAGCCCCTGGTAACCTGTGTTCTACTTTCTTTTTCTTTTGTGTGTGTGTGTGGCAGGGGGGTTCTACTTTCTATCTTGTTAAGTTGCCTAGTCTAGAGATCTTACACAGTACTTGCTCTTTTGTGACTGGTTTCTTTCACTGAGCATAATGTTTTCAAGGTCCATCCATGTGGTAGTCTGTGTCAGAATTTCCCTCCTACTTATGGCTGGACAGCTGGTTTTAAGCCTTAGTACTCTAATTTGAGAAATGGGTATACTTCTCAGGTATAGCCTTTAAATTTTTTTTTTATTTTTTTTTT